GATCGACGATTCGAAAGTGTATGTACTGCGCATGACTGGACTACACAGGCAAAGTTCCAAAGCTAAATTAAACTTGACCCAAATGCGGATTACAACTGTGTCAACAATCGGTGTAAGTCTCTTAGTGCTGCTTTGACTGTTTGTTTGGCTACAAACCCAGTTGTTACGGTTTGATACCAAATATCTGTAAAAAATGTTTTTAAAAGTGGGCATAAACATAGTATAAAAGTTAAAGGTTCTTTCATGCCAATAGGAAACATAGTTTTAACCATTGCTTTAGGCCCTTATTCTAACCTAATAATTGGATGTGGACCTCCCCTTGACTCATTTTTGGTAGATATATATGAATTAACTGGAAAAGAAAGTAAAAGCTGAAATATAATTATTTCAACTCTATTTGTTTTTTACATGTTTGATGTATTTTACATTCATAGAAATTTTAACTCTGAGTATTTTTTTTTATATATTTTTTAGGCAATGAAAAAAAAAAGCACACATACTGAGAGTATCAAAAACAGCCTAAACCAACAATTACATTAGTTGAAGATTTTCATAAAACTGCTTACTGAATTCTTTAAAAAAAAAAAAAACAACAATTACATTAATTAATGACTGCATAAAACTGCTTACTGCATTAATTAAAACAGCCTAAAAAAACTATTGCATTAAATCATGCAAAACTACATAATTTATTAATCAAAAACAGGCTAAATCAAGTTCTACATTAACTAACTTTTATTCAACAAAAATATCCAATACCAACAATTATATTAATTAATGATTACGGATCGCCGGAAACATTTTTCTTGCCTTCAGTACAGAATACTAATTATCGTTTTCTGTTGATGTCTACGCTAAATTCGATGTACTTTAAATGTAAGAAATTAATGTATGCTGGCTTCATAAAATGGAAATGATTTATTTACGAGTTATAGTGATGAAATATTGAACAAGAATTTACCCAACTAACTAGTAACTTAACCCTAACGTTCCCTAGCTTTTCCTAAAAAAATTAATTTAAAAAAATACTACCAGAAACATGCTGTCTTGGTCTTTTCGAGGCAGAAGCCATTGTTGAAATGTACATTACATTTCACTTTAAGCTGTCTCTTATACACATCTAGATGATCAGGTCTATGCTCCTCCCATGCTCCCTACCTACCAATGAAAAGGTGTCATTTAAAATAATACGTACAAATGATTCATTTAAATTGCATATATTTTCTGTCATTTCTTATTCTAAATCCTATTCATTTTTTACAAAGTTCATAAGCGTAAACCAATTCATTCCCAGACGCGTGTCCTGTAAAGTTTGTCAACCACAGCTATGCGCTCCTTTGATGTTAACCGACTGTTGCTATTAACGATGACAGCGTTCTAATGTCGTCTCTGTAAGACGGTCTAAATTTAGATCGGCATGTCACTGGAAAGAGACCAGTGACTCATGCTCCTTTAATAGTTTATCTTATTGGCAATGACTTTAACACGTCTTATTATCGCCGTTAGTGTTTTTATAAACGATGCTTTAATTGATAAAATAAAGACTCGTAAAACACAATTGATGTTCAATTGCTTTAATACACTTCAAGTTTCTTGTTATGCAATAGAATAAATGAACAAAAGCACTCAGAATTCACATGGATAATAGCTTTAAAAAGTTACCTAAAATCGTTTTACGATCGCATGATGACGTCATCGGCCAAACACCGTTCGTAAAATAGAAGGTTCGTAATTGAGAAGTTCGTAATTGGGAAGGTCGACTGCAGTCGACCTTCTCAATTACGTATTCTTTGGTCTAAAAGGCGTTCGTAATTGAGAAAATTCGTAATTGAGAAGTATGGAAAAATAGCGCCCTCTAGATAGATTTTTAACCATGTGTGTGCGCTTAACGATCGTCACGGCCTACTGGTATGGTCTATGACTGGTCTAAGTTTACACACAATATTTAAAATGTGCAGGACTTCGTAGCAAACAACAACAAATTCTAAACTATTATATATTATTACTGTATAGACGAACCTCTCTCCATTGTGCTATTATTTACACATAGCCTCCGAGCCCACAGCCGATGCAAAATCAAGATGTACTCCGCATGGGCGACGATCATTCGTTTAACCATGTGCTTGTTGCGCAGATGGATTTATGCTTTGCGCTGATTGGCTATGCACTCTTCAGGGTTTTAGCATTGTAAACCAGCCGCCGCACTGCTGCCAGCCTTTGATCGCGAGTCCGCAATACACGAACCAACGTATAAGACGTGATTCAAACAGATAAATTACAAACGCATAAGATGGGTATGATTTAAACAA